GTTTGATTTTTAAATATATATCATTTATATAAAAGCAATGGTTTAATGTGAAACAAATTAACTAAATTGTGCACATACAAACTAGTGGATTGGGCAGAAAAATATCAAACTTACTTTCTACTAATGGCAAGAAAATTATGTAAGAAAAGTTAAAAAAGATAGAAGAAAACACTAACTCGAAGTCCGACTTTACTTCAGTTCGAAGATGTTGGAAACAGAAATCACAGCTTCGGTTTAATGGCTGTGATAACATCAATAGCTTGTTAAATATCTTGTTAGGGTTTGGTTTAGTCTTCCCATAAACATATGAAAATGTCAACTAGCTTATTGAACATTTTACTTGGGTTAAGTGTTATTTTAATGTTGTGATAATTTCAGCTAGATTGTTGAAAATCTTGCTTGGGTTGAGATTAAAGTGTTACTATAAGCTCATGTTAATATCGGTTACACTGTTGAATACCTTACTTGGGTCGGGTTTATTGTGTTAGTATGATGATGTTGACTTGCACATTTTAGTGTTAGGGGAAAATTATGATAATGTCTTGTCTCATCGAGTGTGATGTATTATTTCACGATTCTTAATAGTTTTCACTTGATAATAAAAACTGACAGATTACCAGGCCTTCTTAAGAAGAACAGTTTTTGATTAAAAAAAGTACTTGATCTCTTAGGTTGTTCTTAAAGTTACAGTATAAAGTAAAATCACAATTGGAATGGTTCAAGTGTTAAAACTATAATAAACGCCACCACCCTTGAGTCTGAGGTCACTGGATATCTTTACTAGTCACATTTCCTTTTTCTTACACTTTTGAATATTTCGATATGACACATTATTTTAAATTTACCAGAAACATTTACGAAATATCAGTTAGAACAACATTTCCTGAGCATCAATGTAAAATTATTTTTAAGTTTATATCAGAAACAGCTATTATTTTGTTGACTCTGTTAGTGTTCTTACAGAAAATATAGAGAAAACGCTCTTGCTCAGAGTAAGGCAGTTTTGTTCAAATGTTGGCAATAGTTGAAAACCAATAGATATAAAATGATATTTTACCCGTGTTAAACTAGCGTCGCTAGGTGACAAAAGTACGAGGAAGTTGAACATACGCCTAAGTATCAGGTAAAATACCACCTATATACTTCTAAAACACATTTTAATGTATCTAAATAAAGCTTTTCTTGGAAAAAATATTTTAAACACACTAAAACTCGAATTCCAAAAGTAGCATTCCATCTCCTCCTTTATAGAGTTCTGCTTTAACTTTCTTCTCCTTTTGTCGCTATATAATGCCACGTTTAACTCTGACAACACGACGCCAGCCATAAGAGCTCCGTTTTCACCACTTGCGCCACGATACAGTAGTGTGTTGTCCGTCAGTCAGTCAGTAGACATTAAAATTGCGTCACATAAGGGACGCTTACCTTGCAATTTGTACTGTCGTGACGTCAGTAAAACGTGCGCATACCATAAATCACGAGAAGAATTATAAACTTTGTAGAAACAACATGACCTGTGAACTTCAAAAGCAAGAAATAAAAATATTTGTTACTCTTAATTTTTGTTTTATTTACTCTTGAAACAGAACATTTTCGAGGTCTCTGCGGAAGTACATCTGGTATATATTTTCTGCTAGACCTTTATTTCAAACTTTTTTAAGATTGTTTTTATATCAGTAACGATATATATACTTTGTTATTCAAAACTATGGCTTAGGACTAAGTAAACACCAAGCTGAATTTTCATTATTCTGAAACGAATAGTTAGAAATACAATTGTGTTGGTAACGTGTAGCTGTGTACAGCGCAACGTTAGCTCTTGTGTTTAAATTGAGAAGGTTTTGTTTTATATCATTCTTATTTTTCTTTGTCTTGGCAATCTCTCTATTTATTACAACGCTCATAGTTTCTTTTTTTGGGCAAATACAATAAGAAATTACGGATCTGACTTTACATTTCCACAAACCTCACATATCAGTTCACAGAATAAGAAATATTTACTGAGCATACTAGAAGCTCTTTACAACTATAATTATTTTCCAAGCACATTATACACTTATTAGCAAGATTCTCTGCAGGTTTATTCGCGCCACATTTGTTTTAATTTGAAACCTGTCTCTATAACACAAATGTACAAAAGAACAGAGTAATTTAGAGACTATTTACGGTGGATTATTAACATTACTCTCTATACGCATCGTATACATTCTCCACTCTGTAAATACGTATCTTCTACATTCTCCACTCTGTAAATACATATTATCTACATTCTCCAATCTGTAAATACGTATCTTCTACATTCTCCACTCTGTAAATACGTATCTTCTACATTCTCCACTCTGTAAATACGTATCTTATACATTCTCCAACCTGTAAAATCATCCTTTATATGATCCATTCTGTAAACTCACCGTGCAAGTGTTATGGTAAGGTGGATTTTCTTCCGATATATTTAAAGTGATGTAAATTATATGCATGGATTAATAGCCAAACTAGATTATCTTTGCTATATATGTAAAAGGAAGCCTTCAAGGTCCTTCTCACCTTTGGCTTTTTTTTCTTTTTCTTTTTTTAGTTTTAAGATGTTACGTGTGAAATAGTTATGTCTGAGGGGTCAGAATAATTTTATAATACTCTACCTTAACCCATCTTACAATTTACAGATCTAACACGTCATATTGATGTATTATTTTCCCCATTTTTGTAAGAAATAATATATCACTTGTCATCATGGAGCTACCATCTTGTTTAATCGTTATAAAGGGGCATAATCTGTCGTGTAATATAAATCTGTTATTTTCACGTGATTGAACCCTGGTTTTGTTCAGAATCAAAAGTTAGTTTAAATAAAAAAATGGGTTCGTTTGTTTGTTTTACGACGAGGTAAGGGCTACTGTAATGTTTAAATTCTAACTAAAGAGGCCATTGTTTGTTTAAAATTGTACTTTACTGAGAACGAAACATTTCATATGTACAATATGCTTTTAAGCTAAAATTACCATATGAAGTAGGGCTCGACAATTATTCTGAATACTTGTAGCTCCTTTGAAACCTATAAGGAGTAATTATCTATTGCTTCTCATATCATTTACCAAACTATAAATTATTTTTAATATTCTCAGTTTTTAAGCATCAGTTTCTCTATCTAAGTTTCACGAATATAGAATCAAAATACGTCGAAATTTACTTCAACATAAGAAAAATAGCATTTGTTCAATACATATATTTAAACATTTATTTGTACCAGCAAGAAAGGATCATAATGGTTAAAGAATGAAAGGTGTTAAGAAACCAAAATGTATAGATTAAAAAGATATTAACAACTGCGTGTAAAACATTCGTTATTTTTTCTTTTAACGAAAGGAACAATTTCACTCACAATATAAACCTTTACCTCTAGATAGAAAAATGACAAAAAAACACGTTTTATTGAGTTGTTTGCATTTCTTAAACTCGGACGGAAATAAATTAGAAAACAAATTTCCAATTAGTTTTGTTAAATGGTTTTAATTATATATATATATATATAGACACAGATCGTTAAGGATATATAACCCACTGTAACAGTTATAGTTTTCTCTATCAGTAGTGTCAAAGAAATTTCTATATTTATAAAGCTATGGGTGTGAACTATTTCAACATCATAAAAAGGGTCTTCACACAGTGGCCGTCGATAGATTCTCCACGTGTTTCAACTCATAGCATTAACACAAGTACTTATTGCACTAATAACAAATAGAGTTGTGAGTAAATCTTCTTACTAGTCATTTACTGTGAGACTTAAGGTGGCGTATACGTTCTGGACATAGTATCTTTATTACTAGTAAATAATGTAGAATAATCACGTGCATCGATTTATTGTTAGTTTTCGATCTTTTATAATTACTGGTGCAATAGAATGGAAAGTCTTCCGTAAAAGTAAATGATGAAAAAACACTGGACCTTTTTCCACAACAAAATCGCAATGTCTTAACAGATTTTGACAAATCATAAACTTATTCTTGTGGTATTTGAATTACACGAAAAGCGTAGGTCAACATCTAATAATGCTGTAAAACGTCTCGTTTCGTACGCTATTCCTTAGTGGTTGGTTTTAACCCTGAAAGTCCAGGCCTACTCACGAATGTGTAAAGTTGAAATTATTGGTTACATTTGTAAACTCATGGAATTATTTTTGCACTAATTTACAAACTGTTACAGCATGCTACAAAGACGTTCTTAAAATCATGTTGCAACAACAAGAGCGCACTATACTAAATTTGATTTATTTTAATATAAAAAAAGATATATATATATATATATATTCATAGATTCGTTTAAGGTTATTCACGGTCGTTTCAAAGTTAGCTGTACAATAATTTACATCACTTGTGAAAGTATACATACAGAATTGTGTAACAAGCAAGAAATATTTGTTGCAGCTTCCAATGTCTCAACTCTTGCATTTGATAAGGAAACTTTACATCTCAAATTCACAGCTTTTGAGAAAACCAAAGAAGTATATTACAAACATCCAAAGTACTGATAAACCGGAAGACTAGGTAAAGTCAAGGGGGTGTTTCAGTAATGATGATGTCAATGCTTAAAAGCCATTCAATAATATTCCAATCTCATGGTAAATTTCCCGAGTACGGTATTATCATATGCTGATATTTTTGGTAATTCGAGCACAATCTTTGAGGTCTTTTCGATAACAGCATGCTATCTAACGTTCTCCACAGTCCTGTGAAAATTTCAGTTTCATCAGATAAACCAATCGTAAATTCCACAGTTTCACATGGTTCAACCGGACGAGAAGTAGTTAAAGATGCTAATTAACAGCGTCAAAAGCTAGTCTCTTTCCTGTACACACGTGCTTCTGACGCTCCCAGGGTCACTGGATCCTTGGCCAATAAGCTGTGGACATATTCAGTTCACCAGGCTGGGAAGGAACTTGCACTGGGACAGATAACCCTGGTGATATTAGACCTAAATTAGAAAAAATAAAGACAAAGTGTCATATTCAATCTAACCTTCTAATAATCCAACTTAACCCTCTTACTGATAAAAATATTTAAAACAAAAACGCTTATTATACTTTTTAAACGTATTAGTTGTATATAGACTTCATTACATTAAAGAAGCAGATTGTTTTTGTTGTTCGACTCCCAAATAAGCGTAATCTAATTTTAAGATAAAGATATGAATCTAGATTTGTTTATATACATGCCTGTCTTAATGTTTAATCTAGTGAGTGCAAATACGTATATTAGTATCTGCTCAGGAGTCCTATTCGAGGCTTCCTGGCTCGGATAGGACTCCTGAGCCATCTCCGTATCCACAGATAGACCAAATGATGTCGTGGTCTTCTTCGAACTTCGAAGGAATATAGAATTCTGCATAACTAATTCACATCACTCACGAATAACTTAAGTTAAACTTGGATATCATTAAGCTGAAATTGCGGACTGCTTTATAAATAGAACGGTCTTCAGCTCTCTGTTAGGAAGCTTTTCGTCCTTTAGAGGGAAGGAGTTAAGTGTAATCTATTTTCGTCTGAGGAGAAGGGTTTGACACTCGTCTAGCCTCACCCTCTGAGGAAAAGGAGTTAACTCTCATCTGATCTCTTTATTCTCTTGGGAAAAAGGAATTAATGTTTATCTGCCCTCATCGTCCTGTGGGGAGAATGAGCTAAAACCAATCGGACCTTTTCATCCTATGAAAAAAAAAGATCTTCACTTGTGTCTATTTGTCATCCTCAGAGGAAAAGAGATTTAGGTTTGTGAGTATTCTACAGAGCAAGCTACGGGTAATGATCCTCTACTAGCTAATCCTACACGGTTTTAACACATCTGGATAAAACCTGTTATTTGACATACAATCCTCACGAGCCAATAAGAAGACAGGAAATCAGATAATGCAACAAACAAACATGGAATAAAGCTTTTCTAAAGCTATTATTGAAACTGACGTAAAAACAAATCCCAAAACCCGACGTGTTTTCGAAAGAAGGGCCTTCTTTCTTCAGGAGTATATTTGTTTTAAAAGTGCTCGGGTTTGAGTTTTTATTTTATTTTCTAATTTTTTTTGCGTGTGTATGTGTGTGTGTGTGTGTGTGTGCATTTTAAAGTTGCAATATATATTCTTATAATTTGATACCTAAACCGGATCAACATAAAATATACCCAATTGTGGTGTGCATGGAGTGTAAACGCGGTTTCTTTCAAAGAGCGGTTCATAGCTAGTTAACTTCCAGTTAATAATAATTTTCTGAACAGGTCACGATAAAGGTGTCACGTAGTTATGTATCATTATCTTAAACACACAATGTTACACATTTATTCTAAATGTTTCTCGTCTATTTTCAATGGCAGCTTTCTTCGGTGTTTTCATCAAGGAGATAGATAGTCAAGAACTAATCTACAAGATCCAGCTTTTTAAAAATGACGTTAAAATGCTCTTATTTTGAACAACTTTGTTTCTTTGTTTCCCATGTATTTGGTTCTATTGGTAGTATTTAGCAAAAAATAATTCGATATCTTCCTGTCACATATAGCTACACGAGAATGACCATAATTTTCATCACCTGTTGACCCAGCGCTGCCATTGTTGACCGTTGCAAATTGACCATTTATAGGCTGCATGACATATGGTTGTGCTGTTGGACAAGAAGGCCTGCCATAGCTACCAAGGGAGAGAGGGTCATAGTTTCTAGCACTCCCTGATGGTAGCATGCAGGAATAAGATGGTGTTTGTTGCTGGAGACAAGAACTAGGTGCCATATTGTTGGACATAGAGTAAGTGGACATCGGTGGAATGGAGCTAAAAAGAAAATAGAAACGCTCTTCTATAGCCGTATTACTGCTATATTTAAACTACAGAAAGGGAAAATGTAAACAAAACGTACTTCTTTAGAAATGTTTACAGAGAAAGCAAAACTTATTATTGTTAGATTAATCATCCATAGATGTTACAATAGCTATTATAAAAAGTATTAGTAATAGCTGAAAAGAAACTGTATGATTTTGCCTCGTGTTAAGAACAAAAATAATAAGTTTAAATTCCAAGTCGAACTAAGGCGAGATATAAATCGATTCTTTTACGAATACAAATAAAACCTATTATACTAAATAAGTCATTCTATCAAGGTTCCTTTAATTTTGTCGCTATTTTCAACTTTTGAGATTCTGATCTTCAGCAATATATTTAGCTTCTCACTGGGATAATAAATTATACACATTGAATTCCCTACACTTTAATTGATATTAAATTCTGATCAAAGTAATGCACCTACAAAGATCAAACTAGACATTAATTTTATAATAAGTACAGCTAATTAAACAAGCTATTCTTAAGTTCTTAGCTATAAAGATGATAATGCTCGTCAATTGAGTACCCTCCCTCTTAACGACATTTTCGGCCGTAAACCCAATAATCTCTCATAAATTCCAGCCAGATTAGGAAATTTAGGTTAGTCTTAAATCCATATACTAAGCTAACAATGCAAAATAATCTTTATAATAAAAATGTAATAATAAAAAATTAAAACTAATAAAAAATAGCCCTATTAAACATTCTAACCTATACTGTTAATGAAAATAACATTAAAGAAATAGTATAAAACCATTAGTGGTTTGCTTCATATAACTAAATTAAAATAACTGACCATTATATTTCTCCAAGGTACTATTATGTATTGTAAGTTCATTAAACTAATAAAATCTTCCCATACCTGTAAGAATCGGTCATACTAGCCATTGGCTGTCCTATCCCCGGGTAGAGAGCATTTGGGAAACCTGAATTCAGAGAGAGTCGAGCAGGAGTTGAGTTGGCAGCTGCTGCCGCCACAGCAGCTTGCTCGGCAACCCTCCGTTGGTTGCGTAATTTTTCCTCGCGTCTCCACTTGGCTCTGCGGTTCGAAAACCAGACCTGAACAGAAAGAGCCTGTGGATGTTATTTGGCATTCCATTGATAGAACCGGGAAAAATGTTTTGATCTATATAATTCCTAGAATTTCAATGTTGCATAAGTCGTGCTACATCTTTCACCAATTGTCATTATCACGAATATTTTGTAAGTATCTTCTAATATTATCACGAATATTTTGTAAGTATCATCTAATATTATCTAATAATATCACGAATATTTTGTAAGTATCCTCTAATATTATCTAATAATATCACGAATATTTTGTAAGTATCCTCTAATATTGTCACGAATATTTTGTAAGTATCCTCTGATATTGTCTAATATTATCACGAATATTTTGTAAATATCCTCTAATATTATCTCAATGTCTTCTAAGCATATTTACTTTTTATACGAGGTAAATATGAAGATTTCGCAATTATAAATAAATGTTTTCCAAAAAAAACATTAATATTTTATTCAGTTATGAAACTTTCCTAAAAAAACAACAACTAAAATCTCAGTTTAATATTTTCCGAAGGTATAATAATCTTGACTATCTTTCTCTAACTTAATTTCTAAAATATTTGACTTATGTAACATCTCCAGTCTATTCAACCTTAATTACTATAAACCAGAATCTTGACATAGCAAAGTTTCTCTGTATCTTTGCATTGCTTAATTGCAATTTTTAGGTTATCTCTGTATTGTTTTTTTATTTGTTTTTTGTAATTCTTAGGCTAGCTCTGTATTATTTGATTACAAATCTCAAGCTATCTCTGTATTGTATGGTTGCATTTCTCAAGCTATCCCTTTATTGTATGGTTGCATTTCTCAAGCTATCCCTTTATTGTATGGTTGCATTTCTCAAGCTATCCCTTTATTGTATGGTTGCATTTCTCAAGCTATCCCTTTATTGTATGGTTGCATTTCTCAAGCTATCTCTGTATTGCTTCGTTACAATTTCTTTGAAGATTACCATCCTAGATTCTAAGTTTTACTTTTGCATAGATTTTACTGTGGTCATTCTCACGATTCTATATATTTAGTGTTTTATAGTTTGGGAATCCAATATAATCTATGTTATATATTATAGGATTCAAAAGTCTGTCAAAACTGTCTGAAAGCTTATAACGCTAAAAATCGTTTGTTTTTTTTTATATATCCGCGGTATAGATAAAGTCGTAATATTTTTTTGCAAATGTAAACAGTTTTTGCTGCTTTATCGGCTTTACGGTGACATTCAAAATATAAAATGCCGGATAACTCCTCAGTGGTTATGTTATCTAACACTTTATTATTTTTAACTATCCTATTGCCAATGGTCGTGTTGTAGTAATAGCGAACAGTTGGGTATTTACTTTCCCAAGTGTTAGTTAATACCTGTTGTGTAGAAGTGTCTCTGATTATAGATGGGCATGAGTTGGCGCAAAAGTTTCGAATCCTTGCGATACCACAAAATATTTTCGCATTTTAAGCTGTAGGTGCGTTATAGTCAATTCCTTAGCATGGATGGTGATTGATGCTAACTGCCCACCTTCCCTCTGGTTAGTATCAAATTAAGGACGGCGGCAAATAGTCTTAGTAGCCTTGCCATAAATGCAAAAGTACAAATTGTAACTATAGATTTTAGTTTTATACGTTTGTTAATACGTGGAACTATAAGGTAAACCTTGTATTGACGTTATTAAATGTTGTTATTTTAGGTTTAGTTGATGACAAATAGCTATTAACGGCTTAGTTTAAATTGAACTTAATGACATATGAATTTATATGGAATGAATAAAGGTAAGTGTATTAACCGATAGCTTTCTTAAGATATTGTATAAACCTCAGAAGCCCTTAGTTTGATAAATTTCTAGGAGTTCTCATAGTAAACCCTTCTATGATTTATCTTTATTTGTTCTGTGTTTGCATGTAATCGCTTGAGAGAAATGGGGATTATTTAAAAAATTTGTATTTGTAGAGAGATACCTTATATAGTCTTTAATTATATACAGCTATTTTTGAAAAAGAAAAAGACATCATATATCATTTCTAATTATATGAATATTGAATAATTCATTACCTGTATTCTAGCTTCTGGTAAGTCTATCTTGGCTGCCAACCGTTCACGGGCAAATACGTCTGGATAATGAGTTCTTTCAAACTCTACAGGCAAAATATTCATAAACGTATTTGTGACTACTTGTATTCTAACCATATTACCTATTCTTGTGTTTTGAATTGGATACCGGTTACACACGTACAATGGCATGTACACTTTTACAATAAACAATATTCTGGGTAAGGAATGTAGTATTAAAAATACTTTATGACACATATAGCAATGTACAGTAATTTTTCAAAAAAGACATCATATACCATCTCTGATTCTATAAATATTGAATAATTCAGTACCTGTATTCTAGCGTCTGGTATAATTAATATTTTGTATAGTTAGTTTTTGGCAGTTATTTCCATTAGTTCTATTTCATGAAAATTGAGTTTGTTCTTAAGAAGCATTAAAGACACAAGAAAAAGTAACAAGTAAGTGATACTGTTGTGTAAGCGTCTACTGTATAGCTAAGCCTATCAATAAGCGTCAGTTAAGTTAATCGAATACGTTGTAGTAGAAAGAATAAAACTTTTTGTTATAATTCAGTGTATTGGACTTTATGCTATTAATTTTACCGAATAATCAAAAAGAACCCGCCCAACCTGAAGATGGCTACATGTGTGGTTGAAACGTTGTGGTTTTTAATAAAAATGGTTTACTCATTTCAAGCTGTTTTACTTCATATATATTTAATAAAAGTTAATAATTATTGTAAATACTCCACTTTGTATTCTGTGTCACTGGCAAAACAGAATATCTTAAATAATGAAGTATTAGGTAGCCCAAGTGAATGTGTTCCCATTATATTATAACATCTAAACAGGTCTAAGGCTCTTGGGAGAGATATTTCAAACATCTGCATTAGGCTTAACATTTAATAATCTAACCAAAAAAAATATTTGAACTCATGAAACCCATTCGTTTTAATTGTTTACCTTTTTCTAAAGCTTCGATTTGCTCGGGAGTAAATGAAGTTCGATTTCTCTGTAATTTTCTTTTCAATCGCAGTCGTGCCTCATTATCCTCATCACCACTTCCGCCAGGGTCGCTCCGACTAGAGCTATCATTTCCACTGTCGCCTTCTAGAAATTGTAGAGAATGCAATCTTTATTACTAAATTACACACTACTTTCGACAATAAAGAAAATTCTTCCAAAAATTAATTATTCCACTCCTATTTAAAAAAGAAAAGAAATACAATATCGTGAACACCGTAAGATTGGTGTTTTCAGTGGCTTTGGAGCTTGTGTATTTTAATGTAGACTACAAGATCCGATGAAATCGTAAGATGAAACGTCGATTGTGATATCTTAGTCATGAACCACGATAGTGGTTTATAATAGGGTTCGCCCAGGAATTTCACAAAAATTCTAATAAAACATACGGACAAAAACCATCTTAAAAACAGACTTGTTCTTGAAACAACACTCAAGACCTTCTATCTCAATGGCTAAGGCTGCTAATATATTGATAATAGTAAAAAGTTGATTTTCCGATTGTTAGACAAAGTTCAAAATTCATCCATATGTTCTTCATGTTATTATTATTATTATTGCCTACAGAAATATACATCTATGAATATTTTATTCAAACCTGGGCAAACCTACTAAAAATAACTCCTGTGCAGGCCATAGGACTACTTTTATGTTGTTTCTCGAAAGAGAATGAAATATTTTATTAGTTTTTTTTCGAGCCATTCAAACACCAAATCCTACAGCAAAAACGGCTAGGTATACTGCGCCAAAATCTATGCACAGCTTCTAAACAAACTCCTGCGAATGTTGTAGGGCTGTTTTTAAATTGATTCTCCAAAGTCTTTCTTCGCTACCAATATAAGCTCTTCGAAGCCATTTAAGCACCGTTATACTAGTCGGATATGTTCCATTTTATATTCATCAGAAATGGTTCGTTTTATTAGAGTAAACAATATGTATATTTATTATTATTGAATATAGTTTTACGAGTCGATGCAAAAAAAAACGGCTACGAATATTTTACTGAAACATGGACAATAGTAATGAATATAGTATTTTAAAATTAATTAAAACACCTTCGTTTTTCTCCCTGAAAAATTTCTCTAACTTCTTCACTTTCCACCATTGACAAAATGCGGTGTTTTACTAATGCACATTAATTGTAAAATAATTTGTACACTTTATAACGCATTAATTGAAAACTGCTTCTTTGAGTATTCATCATTTCTCGAGTTCGCTGTTGTACTTTGTCTATACGTGATTTTCTGCGACTATTTCAGTGAGTTTTCTACCATAGTAGATTATTAATATTGTTATTCATATTTTTGTTTCAAAAGCGTACAGCAAAATTGGATTAGTATTTTGCACCAAAACCTAGACAGATATACTATATGAAGCGCTTCGAATGTCCATGACTTATTTAAAAAGTTGATTATTTTTCACTGAAAGTTGATTTACATGGTTATAAGTACATAATATATGCGATGTTGTTGTCAGCGGCTTCCTTTGTACTCGACATTTGTTAAACCCGTGTTCACACGAAACCTCAAGCACAAAACCACCTGGCCCAGTAAATAATGGTTGGGTGGAAAAAAGCCAATGCAGCAGTAAACTGTTGAACAACATATAACATTTAACTGAATGCATATACACGTATGTAACTCACAATTTATTCTCCATAAATGGACATAAAAAATTTAAGAACCAAGAAATTTAGAAATGGGGGATAGGGATCGTCAATAAAGTGCAAAAACAAGTTGAATGAAAATGCAAATAATATATTTTCAAACCTACAACTAGGGACTCTAAAAAAGTAAACAAACTAGGCTGGAAATATAACCTTTGCATTTTGATTCAACTTGTGTCTATACGTTTTTGACGATCCATATTCCCCTTTTTAAATTAACAATTTTTAATGATCTTGTTATCATTCTGAAATCAACCGCTTTCTACACCTAAGTCAAGACAGTGTTTCAACCATCTAGAAATAATTATACCCTATCTTACTTAAAATAAAACTACTAACTTTAAATAAATATTAGCCTGCATTGTGTCACTATGAAGGGAAAGTTTTGTTTGTTTGCAGTACAAGGCTACACAGTGTGCTATCTGTGATTTGCTTATCACGAGTATCGAAACCCAACTGTTAGCGTTATATGCCTTTACATTTACTGCTGCGCGTGTGGGGACATGGATGGAAATACCAAGCATTTAGAGAAATTGCTGTTCTCCTTTCAAAAATCTTTCAACAAGTTTAATAAATAAAAGTTACTGAAGGATACGCGTGAACCAAATAACGAAATTACGCAATTAATACAATACAGAAAATACACAAAAGACTTGAGTGTTTTCAAACGTTGGTTCCTAAGGTTGGGTTATTTAAGGACAACAAATAAACCGTTATTATCTAATACACCAACTAAACATGATCGGGTGGTTAGGGCGCTCGACTAGCAACCTGTGGGTCGCGGGTTCGAATCCCCGTCCCACCAAACATGCTCGCTCTTTCAGCCATGTGGCGTTATCATGTGACGTTCAATCCCACTATTCGTTGGTAAAAGAGTAGACCAAGAGTTGGCGGTGGATGGTGATGACTA